CCTGTTACCTGGTGGAACAGGCAGTACCCTGGTCAGCCCAAGATTCCATGGGAACTAAGTCTGCACGCAGATACAGAGGACCCCTTTAAAAGGACAGGTCCCTGCCCATTTATGCTCTCTGTTTCCTCTCTGTTTCCCCACTCTGCTTTGTCTCTGCTTTCTCTCTACTCTGTCTCCCACCTATGCTCTCTCTCTGTCTCTCTATGTTGACCGGCCATGGCGGTCAGCCATTACCCTGTTCCTCTTCTCTTAGTCTCCCTACTCTGCCGGGCCTTATAATAAACTTATAGTCTTATGTCTCATGTCTCAGCATTCTGGGTGCTGGGTGCTGGGGATTGTGAGTTCAGAGCTTTGCACTTGCTAAGCACACACAATCGCGGAGTTCCCCAGCCCTGCTTTTTTAAAAATGGAATAGTTAATGCATAAATACGTGCAATCATGTGAGTTACAGTTATTAAAACCTCTGTACCCACCAGTAATCCAAGACATCAGTAGGAATTTACCAAAGACTTGTAATTACCCAGACCAGCTGTTACTGGCCTCTGCTGCCTACCGGGCAACACCCAGGGAGCACTGAAAATCATTTCTTTTTCCCTCGGGGCGTCTCCCTGGATGATTTTGATGTGCCCTATTTGAGAAACATGGGCTTAATTCTCCTCTCTCCTATTCCCTTGGTTTTCACCCCCACCCCGGGGACCGCCACCCTGACTCTGGGTCATGACTCACTCTGGCACCTAGCGACACTTGCTGTCGATTTTCCTCCTACCGCGAGGGGGCGCCAGAACAACAACTTCCCTTCTTTTTCCTGGTGAGCGGCTGCGTCGTGCAGGAGGTACTTTGGCCTTCGCGGCCTCCGTCGTCCCGCGGGCTGCCGGGCAACCGAAGGGGAAACGGCTGGCGTCGCTGCCGCCTCCGCCACAGAACTCTCGGATCTGGTGAGCGCGTGCTCGGGCTTAGGCCGGAGCCTCTTCTTGGAGAACTTGGGGTGCAGGGAAACACAAGTCAGAGGCTAGGCTGGGCCGAGACGTCCGCTGTCTTCGCTGGTCGGAGGTCTCCGGACACCGGATGGGGTGCATGTCCGGTGCTCGCACACACTGATAACTAAGTCATCGCCTTTAGTTACTTTTGTTGCTCTGGGGACAGGGCTTCCTGTTTTGCCCAGATTGGCTTTGAACTCCTGGACTCAAGTGATCTCGTCCTGCTTCGGCCTCCAAAGTCCTTGGGGCTGCTGGGGCCTGCCGCGGAGCCCTGCTTGCCCCTGTCATTTTATGCCTTTCCCGGCCTTGTCAGGAAGATGTCTGTGTCGGTAACGTCCCTGATAATGGCTGGCTCGCTGCCGGGCACAGTCCAGGTTCATTTAATTTGATAATTTGCAGCCTCAGTGGCACATCATTTAAAACGTGCGGGCCTGGGCCTCGTTGTAAAGTTTTGGGTGGCAATGTGGATCCTAAAGCTGTTATAAAGGTGCAGCCAAAGGGCGAGCGCCCTCGTAAAAGACAGGAGACCATCCAAGTAAGTTCCTGAGTTTGCAGCTGGCTTCGATTCTGCCCGCTGATGTCCCCTTCAGATGGCGCTCCCCACGCTGCCCTCTTATTGGCTCACCCGGAGACCCCTGGACAAGAAGGTAGCACGCCAACGCCAGCAAGAGCAGGAGGCCCAGCTTCGCCAGCAGTGGGAGCAGAACAGCCGTTATTTCAAGACTACGGACATCCACAGCTCCAAACTGGCCGAATGGAGTTCCAAGACCTCCTACCAAAGGAGGCAAGTATCAATGTCCTGCCTGCTGATTCCTACCATTAGCTGCTGGGGGCATGTGGCCTCAGGGCCTAAGTACTGTGGCTTGTGACAGCATGAGTAATCTATATGGTGATGCTATTCTAGCTGATTTAAAAGTGTGTGTGTGTGTGTGTGTGTGTGTGTGTGTGTGTGTGTGTGTGTAGAATAACCAGTGAAATAACATGCATTTTGAAAGATAAAATCTATCAGTCATCTTTTCTGTAGGTGTTTGTGTTTAAATACCCGCCCCCCAACATATATAGAAATGCATATGAAACTGTGGCCTGGGTGTGGCTGATTCTCAGTGGGCTCCTTACCTAGCATGAACGCCTACCATCGTGAGAAGATGAAGGAGGAGAAGAGGATGAGTCTGGAAGCCCGCCGTGAGAGACTCAGGCAGCTTGTGCTGGAGGAGCAGGACCTGCTGGCCGCTGAGCTGGAAGAGCTGAGGTTGAATGTGAACCTGCAGGAACGAAAAATCAGGGAACAGCACAAGGATCTGAAGTCAGCCCGAGAAGAACGAAGGAAACTGGTAACCAGCCTAGACCCAAACAAGGTTGCAGAGTGGGAGTGTCTGAAGGCTGAACTGACCGTTGCATCTGTGGGGTTATTCTTGGGTGCCTTGGTCAGATGAGTTGGCCAGATGATTCTAAGAGTCCATGGGGAAAGCACTTTATTTATTTAGGGAGAAAAAGTCTATTTTAGCTCTTGGCTTTAGATGGTCTCAAGCCATTAGAAGTAGGGTTTGGTTTATAACATTCAATGACATGCCGGGGGGGGGGGGGCTGCTTCCTCGAGCTAATTCCTCACCACTAAAGGCACCCAGGCTCCTCTGAATAGTGCCACCAGCTGGGGAGCAATTATTTTTGCTGTTGGTTTTTTGTTGCTGTTTTGAACGTGTCTCACCATGTAGTCCTGGTTTGCCTGGAACTTTCTTTGTAGACCAGCCTGACCTCAAAGTCACAGAGACCTGGCTGCCTCTGACTTCCTCATGCTGGGATGAAAGGTGAATAACGTGCCTGGCTGAGGGCAAGCATTTAAAATGTGAGCCTGTGATCAGAACCAGATATGGTAGAATGTTAAGGATTTGCCGGAGGTGGGGAGGACAGCTATGTTTTTTTCTGAGACAGGGTTTCTCTGTGAAGCTGTGGTGATGTATCATTTATGTTTAATAAAGATTGCCTGAAGTATCAGAAAGCAAAGCCAGACCACTATTTAGCTGTAGAAGCCAAGCAGTGGTGGTACACACCTTTGATCCCAGGACTCAGGAGATAGGCAAGTTGATCTCTCTGAGTTCAAGGCCACCCTGGCCTACATAAGAGTGAAGAGTAACAGAGCTCTCATGCCTTAGATCCCAGCACTTGAGATCACATGTCTTTAATCCCAGCCCTAGAGAGGTTTATAAAAGACAGGAGCCCAGTGTCTCAGGCTGAATTCTGAGGTTTATTCTCCAGCCACGCTGAGGAGAGGCAGCAGTCTGAGGCTTGGTGAAGAGTTCCTGGAGACAGGACAGCCCTTTCAACCTGAGGTAGAGCTAAGAGCTAATGACTGGCTTTGCTTTCTCTACCTACGACACTTTTTATTAAATCATAAATAATGTATCACCACCACATGTAGCCCTGGCTGTCCTGGAACCCGCTGTGTAGACCAGGCTGGCCTCAAACTCAAAGATCCACCTGCCTCTGCCTCCCAAATGCTGGGATTAAAGGTGTGTGATGGCTAACATCTGGTTTTCTTTCTGTAAGAATGGAGTTAATACTGGCCACAGAACAGGGTGAATGAGTTTGCCAGCAAGAGTGAGGGCCGACAAAAAGCCAGGGCCCACTCTTAAGTGTCTTTACAGGGAGTGTTTGATATGTGGTAGCTCCCTTCTCTGCCTTACAAATCACTACAAGTGATTCCTCCTTCCTGTGCTCAGTTCTGTGGTTCCACAAAGGTCTGGGAACACTGTATTTTATCTTCAAGTGGCTATGGTAACTAGCCTCAGTCTGTGTGTTTCAACTTGCTATGGACTTGGAAACTCCTAGAAGGAAGCCAGCCATAGCATCAGATTTTAGCTAGCTCTTGGTCCATTCTGCTCAGATATCCTGTCCCCAGACTTGTGTGTAAGGAAAGCAGACTTGAGTGACAGATGTGTTGACATTGCTGAATGGAGGTCATGACCTCAGCTGACTTCTATTGGCTTTGTCTAGGTGAATGGATTTGAACATCGATGTATGGTGTTCTTCTGTGTTTTCTCCATAGATTGCTGAACAGCTTTTATATGACCACTGGAAGAAAAACAATCCTAGACTTCGTGAGGTGAGAATTAAGAGCCTTCCATTGCTTTGCCTGGGTAGGTGACATGGTGTTTTCAGATCGTGTTTGAATCTGGATTCATGTTGGGCTGATTCAGGGGAACAAAAGATGATCAGGCAGAGAGAGGCCTGGTCGGACAGGACTGCACAGTGTCAGTGAGCTCTGCTGCACAGACTGCCACCGGGGATGTGTTCTTGGCCCCGGAGCTCTTCCTACAGGTTGCAGAAATCTGGACAGGTGGGCTCAGGACATCTCTAAGAGCAGTTTCTGTGGAGGAGGAGTATACAACAATGCTGGCTTTAGTTCTGTAGTGCGGAGTGAAGAAAGGACATTCTGGATGGAGGTGCCTGGAAGAACTGGCCTGTGGTGTAAGAACAAAGCCAGGAAGCTGTGAAAGGCCAGGTGGGACCCGGGTGCCTAACAGAGGGACTGGGGTGCCCGACAGTGGGACCTGTGTGCCTGATGGTAGGGAGTCCTAAGGTGGTAAAGCTGGTGAAATAGATGGGCTAGACCTTGAGCAGCACTTCCTGGCCTTCAGAGGCCCTGGACCACTTCAGTAGTGTGTGGAGGTCACAGATGCATCCTGGGGCACTCTTTTTGACAGCATTGTTGGCATGAACTGGGCCTGGGGGTGGTGCTGCTCTTGGGGCTCCTGAGGTGAATGCTCAGACTGGGGTGGAAGGGACACCTGGGGACAGAGGGAAAACGTCTTCCTCAACATCACTGAACAAAGACTGGCTGGAGGGGATTAAGCCTGTTATGATAATGTTTATTTACTTCAGTGTTTGTACAAGTTTGGTTCTGTCACTTTATGTCTAAAAATTTCCAGGTGACATGGGCTCAGCAGGTAAAGGTGTTTGCTACCAAACCTGGTGACCCGAGTTTTATCCCAGTACCAACAGGGTGGAAGGAGAGAATCAACCAACTCCCACAAGTTGTCCTCTGGCCTACAGACACACATACACATATTCACACTAAATAAACAAATGTAAATACTAAAATAAGAAAGTTGGGTGGGGTGGTTCACTTTTTTTATCATTTTTTTAAAACACTTTTTTTTTTTTTTTTTTTTTTTAAGATTTATTTAATGTAATGTATGCAGTATTCTGTCTGCATGTATTCCTGCAGGCCAGAAGAGGGCACCAGATCTCATTACAGATGGTTGTGAAACACCATGTGGTTGCTGGGAATTGAATTCAGAACCTCTGGAAGACCAGCCAGTGCTCTTAACTACTAGGGGATGGTATCTCTCCAACCCCCCCCCCCCTCTTTTTTTTTTGACACTTTTGT